AAAATGAAGGAAATCTATCAAAATTTATTATGCTCATCCTTCTCGGTCATTCTGGCAACTGAAACAAGCTGGGACGAAAGCGTGAAAAGTGAAGAAATCTTTGGAAATGCTTTTAATGTATTCAGAGACGACAGAAATTTTCATGCAACTCAGAAGAAGTCAGGCGGTGGAGTCCTTATAGCTCTTTCGGCCAATTTTAACTCAGAAATTATCTTTACACCAAAATTTACAGAATTTGAGCATATTTGGGTGAAATCACACATTGCCGGTGAAACGCACGTGTTCGCCTCAGTGTATTTTCCACCAGACCATGCTCATAAAAGCACTTATGAAGCCTTCTTCCAAAGTGCTGAACAAATTCTATCTGAGCTTCCTCCTGAGGTTAAAGTTCACATCTATGGAGACTTTAATCAACGCCATGCTGACTTCATTCTGGACTCTGAAAATGAATGTATCTTACTCCCAGTCGTTGGGGATAATGAAACATTGCAGTTCATTTTTGACAAAACTGCTAATTTAGGACTGAACCAAATTAACCACATCAAAAATCAACAAAATTGCTATTTGGACTTTTTACTAACGAATATTTATGAAGATTTCTGTGTGACCGAATCATTAAACCCATTGTGGAAAAACGAAGCGTTTCACACAGCAATTGAATATTCTTTATTTGTACACGAATACCAAAGACCCAACGACTGCGAATACGAGGAAGTCTTTGAATACAAATTAGCAGACTACGAAAAAATCAAACATAAATTAAACAGCGTCAATTGGCAAATAATTCTAAGGAATGAAGGAAATGTCGAAACTGCTGTAGACATCTTCTACCAAATTTTATCAGGAATAATTTTGGAAGAAATACCTTTGAAGAAAAAAAGACGCTACAGAAGCACAAAAAATCCAGTCTGGTATAACAGACAAATAAAAAACTTAAAAAATCGAAAACAGAAAGCACATAAACATTACAAAAAACACAATAATAGTGAAAATTTGGCTATCTATTTGGACTTATGCGATCAACTAGATTTAGCCATCAGTAATGCATTTGAAGAATTTAATTCAAAAACTGAACTTGAAATAAAGTCCTGCCCAAAGAACTTCTTTAATTACGTAAAAACCAAATTAAAATCTGACAATTTTCTATCAATAATGCATCTTGACGAACGTGTCGGGGATAGCTCGGAAAAAATTGTAAGCTTTTTGCAATTTTTTTTTCAAGAAATCTATACGACATTTTCCGATGAAGATCGCGACCGCGATTATTTTGCATTTCATCCAGAATTTTCAAGGGACATTGGCGTCAATCAACTTCAAGTGCAGGATATTTTGCAGGCTTTAAAGAATTTAGACGCCTCAAAAGGTCCTGGACCTGACGGAATTCCTCCAGTATTTTTAAAAAGTCTAGCAATGGAACTCACTGCTCCATTGTTTTGGCTTTTTAATATGTCACTGGAATCCGGAACCTTCCCAAAAATATGGAAAAGCTCATTTTTAGTACCTATTTTTAAATCTGGCCGAAAATCTGACGTACGTAATTATCGTGGAATAGCCATTATCTCTTGCATTCCAAAGCTTTTCGAGGCAATTGTAAATGAAAAATTATTTCTTCAAACCAAAAATAGAATTACTGACATGCAACACGGCTTCTTTAAAGGACGTTCGACCTCGACAAATTTACTTGAATTTATAGACTATTCATTAAATGCAATGGATAATGGAAACCACGTAGAAGCTCTCTATACAGACTTTAGCAAGGCATTTGACCGAATTGACATACCAATGCTTCTTTTCAAATTGAAAAAAATTGGAATTGAGCCAGGACTCCTGAAATGGCTTGAATCATATTTAACTAACCGCCAACAAATAATTAAATTCAACGGAAAGAAATCGACCCCAATTCAAGTCACCTCAGGAGTCCCGCAAGGCTCTCATCTGGGACCTCTTCTTTTTATTCTGTACGTAAACGACATTTCCTTCATTCTCAAAAAAATAAAATTGCTAATCTATGCCGACGACATGAAGCTCTTTTTGGAAATAAAAAATGATGAAGACATCAATATATTCCAGAGTGAAATACACATATTCTACACATGGTGTAAAAAAAGCCTATTAGAACTGAATGTAAAAAAATGCAACTTAATATCATTTAGCAGAAAAAGAACACCATCAAACATTTCAATTGCATTAGGAAATCAGAATGTAGAAAAATGTGAAAGAGTCAGGGATTTAGGGATTATCTTAGACTCCAAACTAACTTTCATAGACCATTACAATACAATTATTCACAGGGCAAATAACATGCTAGGCTTTATCAAGCGCTTTTGCTATAACTTTCAGGACCCTTACACAATTAAAACACTATATATTGCCTATGTGAGGTCAATACTGGAATATTGCAGCATTGTATGGTCTCCATTTTCAATCACGCACGAAGAAAGATTAGAATCAGTACAAAAGCAATTTCTATTATATGCCCTTCGTAAATTAGGTTGGACATCATTTCCTCTTCCATCATATGAAGCACGCTGCATGCTTATAAACATACAAACATTAAAAGAGCGTCGTGAATATGCAATGGTTTCGTTTGTAAACGATATCGTTTCGCAGCGCATTAACTCAGCAGAACTTTTATCAAAATTAAATTTTTATGTACCTACTCGACAACTCAGAAATCGAAATTTATTTGCCGTAACCCATCATCGCACAAATTATGCAAAATTTGGGCCATTAAATCGCATGATGGCGTCTTACAATCAATACTGCGAAACCATTGACTTTTCAATGTCTCGGCATAAACTAAAACAATATTTTAACTCCATACGGAATCATAACTCGTAGGAAGTAAAAATATAATAGCTGACAATATATTTTTTAATATTCTTAAGAAAAACAAATTTGTATATGTATTTGTACTAGTCTACATCGGTTGATGAAATAAATAAATAAATAAATAAAATAAATACAGTTCCGACAGAACTTTCAAGTTCCATAAAGTACAAATAAAGTTCCGAAAGAACTTTCTTCCCAAGCAACCAAGAGTTCCACATTCATCGATAAAACCCACTTTCAAGTTTCATAAAGTGTATATAAAGTTCTAACACAACATTCTGGCTACTTTAAAAGCTATGGAAAGCACACGAGAAACTTCAGGCTCCAAAAGGGTCCGATGCGTACTTCTAGCAACTTGAAGTTCAAAAAAAAAATCCAAAGAGCATCCCTAAGCATTTCATAGGAACTTCAGGCAAGGCTGAAAAGATGGCCACAACAAAGTTCCGAACAAGTTCCCAGCGGAAGTTCTTAGCAACTTTAAAGTATCTTAAAACTTCCTTGTGGAACTTCTTGGCAACTTCAAAGTTTCAAAAAAGGTCCGTCATAGCCCACATGAAGCAATCCGCACAAGTATTTATTAGTACAAAATTACATGTTCGTAAATACGAAATGATCAGTGGCTCAAATACATCATAATTCTTATATCTATGCAGTGCTTCAATATTCTAACCTAAAATTAAAAAAAATTAAAGAGCGATTTCCTGGATTCGAACTCTTGTATTCGGCATGCGAACTACGAACGCTAACCACTGTGCCACAAGTGTGTTGGAAAATCATACGGGCAAACACCAATTTAAAGTTCAACAACGTGTTGTGTTTCGTGTTCAAGTCAGTCAGCTGGCTTTAAAAACTCCAACAGTAGGCGGGACAACAGCTCACTTTAATATATTTCAGATGACGTAGCGGTTAATGTTGGGGCTCTCACGCAGAATGACTTGGTTTAATTCTTCAAACAGCTCCAATACTACTACTAATGCTGATAAATCAAAACACGTTCATACATGCCTTTAGAAATAACTTTCATAAAGACCTGACTTTAGAATTAACTTTCATAAAAGTGTGAACTTATATATAGAATTGATGTAGAGGATAAAAACCTTATTTCTAGACAGAGCTGGAATTAGGCCGTAACAGCGTTTGTAAACAATGGCTTATCTTGATGATTTCTCGAAAGTCATCGCTCTCCCTGACAAATCGCCATCACCATCCAGTAGAGGAAGACTTCTCCTACCCGATGGATATGTTGGTTTGTGTAGGCGTGCCTTGAATTCCTAGAAATCAACGAAAGAAGTCATTGTTTACAAAGGCTGTTACGCCCTAATTCCAGCTCTATCCAGATTTCAACTTTTTTCTAAAAGTTCCATTCAAGTTCCACCATAAGCTGCTTAGAATGCTCTTCAATTTTGGTACCGGAACTTTCAAGCTCTTATAACGACTTAGACTGCTTAGAATTCTATAGACCACCTTCAACCAAGCTGCTTAAGCCACAAATAGCCTTTTATCAGAACTTTTTGTTACTTGGGTAGATCGACAGCGTGAACGGATAAACCCTGATTTCTTCGATGTTGCAGAACTAAGTCCCACACCTTGGAGGGAAAGCGGGTCATCCTGCCGACGTGGATCCAATATCTGTGACAAACGCTCACTGAGCAGGTTACGTTCGGAACAGCAATCCAGGAGGGCTCTAGCGAACTGTACGTTTCCATTGTAATCAGTTCAAGCTACTGGCTTGAAATTGGAGGATCCAGCTACGGGTGTGGTGACGAAAGTTTGAGAGTGCGAGGTAGAGGAATTGTTCAAATTTTCGACTAACGGCTGACTTTGAGGAATAGTGTGTTTAGTGGGTTGCGATTGCGAATTATCTTGTCCTTGACTGGAACCGCGTTGCCTGCTGGGCGCAAATGCAGCATCGTATGGTGCTTTTGACCACAAACACGACAAGCTGAGCTAGGACAAGAGGAAAGACAATTTAAACATAGACCAGCTTTCTTGACTGATTCAAGCCTTTGGGAAGGATTCATGTTATCAAAGGAATCACATTTCAAATGAGAGTGGAAAGATTTTTGACAGTGTGAACAAGCTTTCTTTTGCGTCGTGGTTGTTGTGAGTGTAGAGCTATTCCTGATTTTCTTTCCAATTGACAAACCGTCAAGGCCTTCACATCCCAATCACCAAATACTTTATTGCTATTATTCGTTTCCACGCAACGGGTCAGTGGTGGTTTTTGTTTTTGACATGCTGACAACTTCGAAATGTTCTAGTACTACAATGCTGTTCTGTTGTTGTTTTATATTGGCGTTAATATAAATCCACCATCCGGGCAGTGTTCGGTAATCCGCTCTTCTAAGCATTCGGAGCCGGGTAGTCGATCAACTGTGGGACTGGTTCGTCTTCGTTGCACAGGCCAGCGAACTTGGCATTGCAACCCTTCTTGCACTGGGAGCACGGTTCACCCTTGTTGTAGATAGGGATGCCGATGAAGTCATTGAACGAGTAGTTGCACACCAAATACATCTGGAGCCAGCCGTCCGGGATAGTCCACTGTGCGATACCGCACCCAACCTTGTTAACCTTGTCGCTGGCGAGGACGGCAAAGTGGAACACCATAATGCTCTTGCCCGGGTTGTACATGGTTTTGACCATGTTCTTGTTGACGTCGTGACGCTCATCCCACCAGCTGCTGATCAGCTTCGGAACCTCGTCCTTGACGTCGATTGTATCGGCACTGGTGGCAATGTAGTTCAAATTCTGTCCGGAGTTCAGGTACTCTTGCGTGTTGTGGCACTTGTCGTGACCTCGGTCGCAACGGTTCGCATTCATCTGGGCCGTCTCGGCCAGATCGTTATCCCAGGTCTGCGGGAAGAAGAAAAAAATCAGTAACAGTAACAGTAAGCCGTTGTTGTCGAAACTCACCAAAGTAGGCATGGCGGCAGCTTTGGGCAGCCATTTGACCCCACCGGTTGCCAGGGTGCTGCGGTATCCGTTGTGCGTGTCCAGAATGAGCTGCTTCAGATCGTCGGTCATTTCGATAATCTTGGCACCCTTCGGGCAGGTCTTGCTCAGCTTGGTTGCATCGCCGCCGCATCCGATGTTGCCGGTGCCGCCGAAGCAGATGGTCGGATCGCAGTAGTCCGCCGCGGAGACACGCTTCAGCGATGCCATCACAATCAGAGGCCAAACCAAGACTGTGGAATGAGGGGAAGCGGTTGTTTTTAGGGTTTTGTGTCATTTGGAGCTTTTTGATATTTGAAGTGATTTATCATCAATATTCGATTGTGCACAAATATGAAAGACGTGAAATTCAGTTCAGGTAAATTTTAAACGAGCTACTCATTTTCTTGTCTCCAAGCACAATTATGAATGATTGTCCACACAAGAGGAGGGGTGATCTAAAACTTCTCAGAATCTTTATTCGTGGATTGTGGACTGCATATTCACGGTCCCACTGACTCCTCCAGCTATGCCCATGACATAAATTCAAAAGGAATGCCTTTCATGGGAAGATGCTAAGTAGAAACTCATTGAAATCGCGACTTTGACATGGCTGGGGCCATTTTTACTACCCCCTAACTACAAGCAAGATTTCGATATTTAAAGATCTTCAATTTAAGCTAAGTCCCATTATCTTGAAAAGCTTTCCAAATGAACTTTTCAACTAAACAATTCTAGATAGAGCTGGAAATAGGGCGTAACAACCTTTGTAAACAATGACTTCTCTCGTTGATTTCTCGGAATTCAAGGCACGCCTACACAAACCAACATATCCATCGGGTAGGAGAAGTCTTCCTCTACTCGATAGTGATGTCGATTTGCCAGGGATAGCCATGACTTCCGAGAAATCATCGAGAGAAGTCATTGTTTACAAAAGCTGTTACGCCCTAATTCTAGCTCTATCGAGAATTCTAGATAGAGCTGGAATTAGGGCAAATAAACTTTTGTAAACAATGACTTCTCTCGATAATTTTTCGAAAGTCATGGCTCTCCCTGGCAAATCGACGTCACGATCGACTAGGGGAAGAGTTCCCCTACCCGATGGTGCAGTTTGTTTGTGTAGGCTTGCCTTTAATGCCTAGAAATCAACGAGAGAAGTCATTGTTTACAAAAGCTGTTACGCCCTAATTCCAGCTCTATCTAGAATTAGAAGTTCGGGATCATAGTTTTGTTGTTTTGCTTTCGTTCCAGATACCATTTCCCAACCAAAGAAGGCCCTAAATTAAATCAAAGAAAGTCCTAAATTAAATCATTCGCATTTCAAAATGCGGCATATTAGCTTTCGCGCTAATGGCGTTTGGCCTAATGGATCTGAACTTCAGAGATATATAAGAAAGAAAATCGATGTTTATTGAACATTGTCAAAACGGGATGGTAGTTCTCAGAGGCTAGGGGTAGTTTGAATGATTTTCCTTTGAATCGTGCGAGACAATTTTATATTCGATTGAATAATTGGTGCTCTAACAATATCATTGTTAGCTCAACTCATGGCTCTACGTTCGAATTATGGTCCATGTGAATTTCATAGGCCATAAATGGAACACAACGGATAGCCATGACTGGTAAATCTACCCTTTATTAGTAAATCACTGTCTACTGCAGGCCAAACACTTATTAGATACACCAAAACATTTTGCACATATCAAATCTTTTGGAAAAGAAAAGTGCATGTCTGCTCGAAGCTTAGTTTAACTTCCGTTTTAAACAAATTTTCCTTTCACTTACTCAACACAATCACAAACACAACGACAAAAATCAAAACAAAAGTCTGTCACTCTTTTAAACCAACGGTAGGTTTTCAGAGCTAAAGACGATACTGAGCCAGACTCGTTTTAGTAATGGAAATGAGTTCTGCGGTGGAGATACTCTAAGAATCTCCCTTGGCTTTTATAAATTCAAAAAAAAAATATGGGTGACTAATTTTTTTATCATGAAGTAATTTACTCCACTGAGTCATTTTCAACCTTTCAGCTAAACGAACTAAAATCAAATTTTCTTTTAAATGATTTAATGTTTATAACAGGTTAGTCGCTTTCAAATTCTTCTATGAATTAGATTATAATTTATTCAAATCAGATCTTATTGATACAATTCAAACCGAACCATTATCTGGCAGATCACATTTCATCGTACGATCATTACTGGTAATAGATTCGTCTTTAACGATCGGACATTAATTTTCGTCCTTAGGACATGCCTTCGTTGGGCCTGCATCATTGCAGTGATTAACAATTCACTTCTCGCACACTTATGAGTTTTTCAACTGCATTCCACTCGCAGCACTTATTCTATTCGGAGGACAACCCGTCGAATCGCTTACATTTGACCGCTCCAGCCATTTTGATGAAGGTCCTTAGCCGTCCGTTTACGCCAAGAACTGAACACAAGACGCACAAAATATCAAACTCACAACACTGTTTCCCTGGAGAAACCGCACACCGAACAAGATGCTCTCCTTTGGAAACGCATCATTTTATATAGTGCTAAATTCACTCCATTCTCACTGATGCGATTTTTAATCTCCTTTGCATTGTACAATGTATAATTACCTGACCGCCCCCCACCCTCCCTCAGAGCGCGTGTGGTGAGCATCCCCCTTCCCATCCTCCGGGAAACCAATTAGAACAGCACTCCCCCTCGAATCCAATCGATCAAAACGCCACACGCATAATGTGCACACTTCCCATCTCCCCCATGTAGTTGTTCGTCGTTGATGTTCTACTGTTCGACAGTTCCGTCCAGTCCAGCGGCAGTGGGGTGCGTGAATTGGAGCAGATTCTCCCACGATGTTTCCACTCATGCGGGGCGGGGTGGGAAAATTATAACTCGTAGCTGATGAAGGTGAAAAGTGAATCAGCCAGATGCGCTTTGCACGAACCGACCGCTGACGGGGTGCTGATTGAAGGTGTAGTACCAAGCCACAGGGGGGAAAGGTAGGAAGGGCGTCACTAGTAAGCCGTGTTCAGCAATTGTTGTTCGAGTAGATTGATTAAACGATAGCATAGAACTGGGAAGGCACTCATGGTGGATTGGATTGAATATGAAAATCGAGCCGGCCGGTTCTGATTGTGGTCTATAGATTTTGATTGATTGTCGGTGGAGTGCTTTCAATCACTAATGGCTTCGGGTTTCTAAAAAATCATAAAGATCGGCTGACACAATGCTATGCTGCTAAAATTCGATTAGAATTAATATGTATAAGAGTGAATCAGATAAACGTAGTATTGTACATGATTTGCAAGATGTTACATAAATGTAACTGCTTTTGATGATACAAAAAAAAAACTTAGTGCAACAGTTAAGCATGGTAGCTCTAATTAGACACCATTAAAATTGATAAAATTATCCATTTATATATTAAATACGATCCTTGAATAGCTGAGCGCTATAATTTTTAAACATGGCTTATAATACAACTTATAATCAGCAAGGTGCGTCAAGTACGGCGTCATACGGCGTTTAATTTTTGGGGATTGATGATAAATGTTATTGTTTCAGAAATGGCGAAGGATACTCGACTAACGGAGGAGGAACGGTGTATTATAAGGTTGTTCAAGGAGAAGGGTCACATTAATGTTTCAATAACACGAAAAATTGGTCGATCTGAGAAAGCGGTACGGAATTTCCTCATATAAGGGTCAAAATATTGCATTAAACCTCCTATCAAAGGAGACACCAAAGTTTGTTTTAGGGTGAAAGGTCAAATCAGACATGAAGCCACAAAGAATCGGTTGACCTGCTCCCAAATAAAACAAAAGCTGGATATATTCCGGTGACCCCCCAACAAATTGCTCGAGTTTTGAATGAAACGCCGAACATCACATGGAAGAAACTGAAAGGAAAACCGAAACTCATAAGCAGAACCGGCTCAAGTACGCCCGGAAGTACATGGATGCAAGACAGAATGCCGTAATTTTCTGTTTCCTGACGAGAAAAAGTTTAATTTAGACGAACCGAACTGTTACAGTTGCTACTGGCATGATTTGAATCAAACCAATGTTGTGAGATCGAAGCGAAACTTTGCGGGTCGAGGTTTGATGGCCTTCTACTAGCAAAGATCCTGATTTGTTTCATCTCAACCCGGATGAATTCCAAAATGTACCTGGAGCTCTTGGAAGATGTCTTGATCGGTCATATTGAGAACGAGGCCAATAACGACATCGTTTTTCAGCAAGACAATACATCCCTTCACATCGCCAAGCACTGTCTTGTTTTAAAAATAAATTTAAAACAGTTCTCAATCCCTCCTTAAAACTGCTCTGTAATTCAAGCCTAAACGTCATTCGCAATTGTTTATTAATGTCTTGATAAAATACTTTATAAACGTGTTCTATCATTATAAAAGCAACCATAAAATCATTAGGTTTTGCATAAAAGCAAAAAACATTTATTGTTGCTTTTTAGGCTTTTTAAAGTGCATAATAAACTTCCCAGTTACTCTGTTTACAAATTGAGCTTAAAAGATGGTTCGTCATAGTTAATAAGAGCCAAATTTATGACAAGGAAATCTCGAAGAATAGACGAAGTAGGATGAAAAATTCAAGTCAATTTCAGCAAAATTTACTTCCTTAGAAGAACCAGCATATCATCAACGGCTGACCATCTGGCGGAGAAGAGTAAAGTGAACATTGTCGAAAGTTGAAAAACATACCAGCCTTCTTCAGATCTTGCGAATAGATGACAATCGAAATAACAACCGTCAGCAAACCACTGAAACTGTTAGTTAGCGGAGATTAGCTGGTTTCCGATCCATAGCAGCGATTTTATTCGGCGAAAGGATCAACTCTTCGAAAATTTCATTCAAGCGTACATCCCTGCATCGTTGGATGGTGCACTTCTGTAACCATCTGGAAGAAGGGGATCTTTTTCGGGAACGGTTGCGCTTCCAGCTGTTCAAAATGCCAAATGTTGCAAAACAGTATCGCAAACTAGCTGAATAACTGCTCCCAATCCATCGGGAGAAAACTGCCTGGAAGAACCCTGGATCGCACAGCGCAACTAAATATCGAAAGATAAACAAACTTTGACGTTTAACTTTGCCTCCATAAATACTGCCATAAATCTGAACGGGTTAGGATCAAGCAAAATGGCTTTAGATTAATACAATTCAGGCTGCAAGTTTTCTTCATAAAAGCCATTTTAAAACCTTATGAATTTGTTAAGGATTTCTTGAAATCAAAACAACTTTTTCACAAATGACCCATGAAAATCAACTTTTATGCCACCACCATGTTACAATTAGTTTGCTTGTTTTTTACAATCTTCGAATATCAGTCTATAGTTCCTTGGATATAACTATATTTTTGATAAATTTAATAATAAGCAAACATTTAAATGCGAAAATCATAAAAAAAAATCTCGGCCCACCTCGATCTGAAGAATTTTTTTTTTCAATGTAAAATAATTAGTCAAATCGACGTTTTAAGACGGCGGACGTATATTTTTTTTTTTTGATGTTTTCACGTCCATTTCACATTAAATTTAATAAGGTACTTAAAACTAGGCCACTTAATGAGAACAATTGTAATAAATTTGAATATTCAACAAGATTTTTATACCATCAGTTTCTATTTTAATTATTTTGATAAAATCGGATTCATAAATACTTTTCTATCTTGATTAATGCTTTCGTAGTAGATTTATAAAGCGGCTAGGGGAAATGGCTCAGAAAGGGTTTTTATTGCTGCTAAAAAGCTTTTGTTGTAGATTTCAAATGGTTCTCAATGCGTTCGTCATACAACCTTTTGCTGTAAATCAATATTGAAGAGCTTCGCGAATACACCCTTCAGAACCTTCACCAGGGTGGGCCAACTAGACATATTCTAGTCTTAATGAGGTTTTGGTGGATGCATTAAGGACAAAATAGCCTTGACCAGAGTTTTATGAATGTTGTTTTATAGTTGCTTTGTAGTATTTCATAAAACTTAAAATGTTACTTGGGAGGACAAAACCCTAGTATTCAGGACGGAGGATCTCCTGCCTCTTCGTGCTCCCCAGTAAAGGCAAGTGAATTCGCAGGTGCAACACCCCCCCCCCCCCCCCCGCAAGAAGCTTCCGGTGATTCTGCTGGCCAAAGCTCTCCATCCCCCCTGGAGTCTGGAGACAACCAACAGCACAAAACAACAACCGCGATCTGTTCTCAGCGGATGAACTGATGGAAATTTTCGTCAACATGTCCGGTGCTCTTCTTAAGTGCCGTCTTAAGTAAGCCCGAACAGATCCAAGTGCTCGGTAAGTTCATCATCCAGTATGGCGTCTGAACCGCTAACTATCGTCACCTGGAATGCTTGCTCTGTAAGAGCAAAAGAGATTGAGCTTGCCGACTTCCTCCGCAAGCACAGCATCGACGTTGGCCTTCTAACCGAGACCCATCTAAAGTCCGGCGACAGCTTCTGGTTGCCTGACCACAACATTATCGGGCTTGATCGCACCAGCTCCAGGGGGGGTGGTGTTGCGGTCGTCGTCAAGAAAGGAATAAAATACCACACTCTGTCCCATATCCGCACACCTATTATCGAGGCCCTTGGTGTGGAGGTGGAGTCGTCGGCTGGATACGTCCAGTTCATCGCCGTCTACTGCCCTCGACAGTGTGCCGCCAGCAGTGGACTAGCGGCTAAATTTAAGAAGGACCTGTCGTAGTTAGATGAGATCTAAATGCTCGCCATGAGGCCTGACGGAACTACCAGCAGAACCAGAACGGTCGTCTGCTGTTAGACCATTCGCAGCATGGGTTGTCCTTAGTTTGGTTTTCTAATGAGCCAACATTCATCTCACCGGAGGGCAACCCATCGACGGTAGACCTGTTCCTGACAAATGCCGGCTTGTCCAAGCCGGTAGCCTTGAACGAACTCAGCTCCGACCACCAACCAGTGGTGGCTGAACTGGGCTACAACGTGGCCCCTGCTTCAAGTCTGCAGAAGGACTACCACCGCGTAAACTGGGCCCAGTTTAGATGCGTGGTGGACAGGCACATCATCGACAACCCGCCGCTTGACACCGTGGAGGACATCAACCAAGCGTTGGAGGGACTCCACCAAGCCATAACCGTGGCTGACGAGGCGTGCGTCCGACGAGTTCCTGTGAGGGGTAAGTTTATTGCCACTGATTCCAAAACCCAACTCTTGACCTTGGCTACCTTCCAGAATGGTTTGGAGCGGTCGTCCATATTGTAGCATCCCAAATTGTAGCATTTCTAATATTTCCAAATTATCAAAAATTATAATGAACGCCAGTGACATGAAACATGCATGCCACACATTATCCTCAAGCCTTCATTAGCTCATGCTTCAAGGTTCCAAACATTCCCATCTACGTAGACGCCAGTTTCAGAGGAGTGTGAAAAAGTGGGCAAAAACGTGAAATGGCCGATCTGAACAGGCAGATTGCTTCCAGAATGGACTCACTCTGAAATGAAAGTTTCGGGCGTGTTGT